ATGGGAAGCAACAAAGGATTGTCTCAAGATGTTGTTACTAGATGGAATTCAACTTATCTTATGCTTGAAAGTGCTCTCTTTTATAGACGTGCTTTTCAACATTTGGAATTGAGTAATTCTAACTATAAGAATTGTCCCAACTCCGATGAGCGGGAAAGAGTTGAGAAAATATCCAAGTTCTTGAAATTCTTCTATGATACCACACTTTTGTTTTCTAGCACAAGATATCCGACAACAAGCTTGTATTTCCAAGCAATTATGGAATGTTATATAACCCTGAAAAATGCTGCCCAAGGTGGAGATGAGTACTTGAAGTCCATGGCTATGCATATGTGGCCTAAATTTCAGAAATATTGGTCACAATTCAACCCCATTTTAGGCATTGCACTTCTATTCGATCTACGGTATAAGATGCAGTTTATTGACTTTTGTTACAACAAACTTTTGGCATAACTCTGAGGAGTTGTTTTCATTGCGTGAGAAGTTGGAATCCCTTTTTGATGAGTATGCTTTGAAGCTTGATCATTCTGTCTCACCACCGACTTGCAAGAAAAAGGACAAGGGTAAAGCACCACATGGAATGGAAGTAGATGAGTCAGATTTGATGAAGGTAATATTTATTTTTCTTATATATTACATTCTTTTACATAGTAATATTTATCTTAGTTACTAATGTTTTATATATTTTTTTTTTCAAGAATTTGATGATGTTTCAAGTAATTTATTTTATGCTTCGAACTAAAATCACAGTTAGAATTGTATTTGGACGAGCCTAGAATGAAACGGAGTTATCAGTTGGATATTTTCTCCTATTGAAAGACAAATCAATGCGGCAACCCAATTCTTGCTGCCATGGCTCGTGATATATTATGCATTCTTGTATCAACAGTTCCTTCAGAGGCTGCATTTAGTGTTGGCAGTCGTGTGCTTGATCAGTTTCGTAGCTCTCTTAAACATGAGACTGTTGAAGCAATTGTATGTACAAGGGATTGGTTGTATGGACATGAAGGTATATTCTTTAAGTTTTTCATTGTTCTCTTAAATATTGTTACTCTCAGTCTCATAAATGCTAATAAGTTAAACTCTTTTTCTTAGATGGATTCAAAGTACTTCATCAAGATATGGCTGAGCTCATCAACAATGTGGTTGATCTTAACATACAAGAAGAAAAAACTGTCAACCAAGCTTCTAACTCCGGATGCACTTGAATTTAATTTTTATTATGGTTGTGTAATGGTTTTTTTGCTTCATTTGAACTATGTGGTTGTTAGGACTTTGTTATGCAGGTTTCATGTGATGTTTTCTTTTGCATGCATTTAAATTTTGTTGTTGCTGGAACTTTATTATGTAGATCTAGGTTTGGACTTTAGTGTTGGAACTTTATTATCTATGTTTAGACTTTGGTACTTTGTTAATTGTTATTATTTTTGGAGGGTTTTATCAATGAGTGATATCTGTAACAAATTATAAACTGTAAGATCTTTACAAAATGGACTGAAATCTACAATTTTGTATCAATTTCGGTTCAACAGATTCGTGTTGTGTCTCGGGTTCGCAGGTCAATTCATGTCGCGTGTCACTTTCGGTTCGTGTCGTGTCAACCCGCAACCTGACCGTGTCGTGTTCGTGTCGCGGTTCTCAATTCTTTTCGTGTCACGGGTGGTGTACGGGTCGCATGAAAAAAAACTGACACGGTACAAACATGACACGAACACAACATGAGACACGAATTGGCACCCCTAATAAATATACATATATATACTTCTTACATTTGTGTTAATTACTACTTTTAATAAGACCTTTCTCGACTTTACAACATCATTTATTTATTTGTTTATTTGCATGTGTTTTTTATTTAGTTTGTATTGAGAAACCTTTGATTTTGGTCATTTACTCATTTTTTACTTTAAGTTACAATAATTTTGAAATGCTTAATTATATTCGATGGGAAATAGGGTGGGTATGGAGAATGCCCCCAATGGAGAATTCCTGACTCCGTCCCCGCCTTTTCTTAAGTGAGGATAGAGGTGGGAATGGGATGGTTTTAAAGGGTGAGGATAGGGATAGTAAATAATTCACCACTCCTGCCCCGCCTCGTTACCATCTCTACAGCACGATTATTGAAATTCCATCCAAATCTTACCCCACTCGAACCTCTAAGTGCCACTAGACTAAGAGGTTTTAGGCCTTACTCGTTTCAATAAGCAAATAATATGAAGTCCCATCCCACCTAGAATATACAGGTGTGATGGAAACTTTTGGGCAGTTGAAAATTGTATGATAAATAAAAACTAGTATGTTTACCTATTAATTACGCAAAAAGTGTAAGTATGCCGCTGATGCTTATTTCGAAGAATAACTTGAACTTAATCATGTTATCTTTTTTTTTTTTTTTTTGAAAGGACATGTTAGCTTAATTTAGATTACATGCAAAAGAAGCAATAAAAGGAAATAATGGTTATATCAGGATTTGATCATGTATAAGCCTTGTTTTAACTTAGAATAGCTTCAATCAGTTTCTTATTTCCCTTTATTTGTTAAATATGGTTTATATGCCTTTTAGGTCTAATTTTTCTGTGTTACCCTTCAGGCTATTTTTTAATTGTTGTTTTAATAAATTGTGTGGGGATTTGCCGATTTGGTAATTCATCTCTTTCTTTCGCTTATATATACACATATATACATATATATATATATATATACATATATATATATATATATATATATGCATACATCCTTGTTTCCTATATTAATGTGTATGACCTAAATAGGGTTTGCAAATTATTGGGATTAGTTTGATTAGTTTTTCATCATTTATTTGTCTGCTACATAGTTATGGGCCTCAACATGAAATAATAGAAGAAAATCTACTTCCTGCACTTTTTCAAAAAAGGCTTTGCTGGAAAGCATTATTTTTAAACAATCGTATCCGAAGGGGAAGACGAATAATTTAATATAATATAATATTTGATCGTTTTGATATAGTCAACGGTCTTGCTTGAAAGTGATGGTCCTGGCCTGCAGTCAAAAAGGACCACATATAGAATTCCTTTGTCATCAGGACCACAGAAACCTAGGAATTAAAAAAACAAAAAAAGGAAAAAAAAATGGTTCTCTAACATGCTGAGTTATAAAAAGAACCAAGCTTTCGGCAAAATTGACTGATTAATATTATTTCCTATATATTAAGTTTTTATCAATCAAATTTCGAAAAATCATCTCAGATTTACGACAACACTAGAATAAAAATTAATTTTATTCGCAATTAAGATAAGATGATATACATTAATATTCCTTCAATTTAATTAATCTTGAGTATCAACTTTTAATCAAATACCATGATAAATGCAAATATTGGTTATATATCAGAAGAAAAATAAAATTAGGACAAAATCTAAACCGGTTGAAAGTTCTAAGCCCCCGTTTAGTTCGTTAGTGCGAATTTTGTTAATTTAAACTTTTTTGTTTAAAGAGAGAAATTCAAACCGTGCAGTTTAAATTATAGTTCGAATTGATATTTGGATATGCAGTTAAAATTTTAATCTGAACAAGAAATAAAATTTGAATTAGTATTTGGTAGGTGTGAAAAGCAGAGAGAGTGTGTATCTTTCTACTATTTAAAAATTGTTTAAACGGTTGAACTTAAAGAGAGAGTTAAACCACAGTTTAACTCAATTTAAACGGAGAATATAATTTAGACTGTGTTTACTAAACATGAGTTTAAATTGTACTCATTATTTAAACTAAACTGAGTTAAACTAGTGAAATAAACGAGAGTAAGTATTCATTGGCAAACGCAAAGGAATGGAAAGTACACGGTGTACATATTAATCAATTTGAAAAAAGTACTTGAAGAGGAATTTAAAACGAACTAAAGCGGAAACTTGAGTACGGGAAATCTACAATGCCCCTCATTAGAGGTTTATACGCTTCTTCTCACTTTATATCAACTAAAAGAAAAAATTGTATCAACTAAAAAAAAAAAAGAGTAAACTTCTAAAAAAAATAACATAAAACTAAAGAGATGAGTTTGGAGGGCAGATTCCTTACTTTGCTCTTTTATGTTGCAATAACACTCTCCTTGCTTGCAGGCTGGACAATAATCGTACTGTTTGTGGCCTAATCACTATAGCAACATATATCAGATTGCTAGCTAATTTTGGGGATCGTCTCCAATATACAACACGAGTACTCCTATACTTGTTTCTAAAGACAAATGTAGGCCATATTTGTAAGCCCTCTTTTACAGTATAGTTCAAATTATCTTTTCTCTTTTTGAGAAAATTACTGAATTTATCCGTTAAAGTGTATGGATCTAGATTTCTATCTCTTACTCTTGATTATTACTTTTTTGAGTAATATATTTTTTTGTGTAAAGAGTATTAATTAAGAGTACATAGTATAAAAATTCAATACCCATACAAATTTCAGGGGTATTTCTCGCTTTTTTTTCTTTCTTAAAAGATGGGAAGGAATAGTTTTCTGGCAAAAAAAAAAAAAAAAAAGATAAAAAGAGGGGAATGAAACTTACGTATAACTTACTGAAACCTTCCTGGAGACAAGAAATTAGAAAAGAAAAAAGAAAAAAAAAAACCTTATTATTGAACAAGTATCTCACTTTATAATTTGATTATCAAATTGTCACATTTTATATAATTGTTTCCTCGCACTAGCTAGTCACTTCTATCACCAAAAACAAAAATAAAAAATAAAAAAAAAGGCCAGCGAATCCTTGTGGCGGCGTATGCAATTAATAAAGCACATGGAAGAAATTTATGACGACGAATTCTAACCATCGGATATGACTGATAAATTAATTTCTGTATAGCAGCTCAAATACCTTTCATCTACTATATATTTGCATAGTCCCTGAATATTGTGCCATGCATGCCTACGTTGCAACCTTAAACATTTTTAGACGTTATAGGAATTGAGTTATAATTGCCGTTTGTTATTTTTATTTTTTGAAGATTACAGATTAAATACCTATTAACACGTCTATGGAGGGGAAGAGATCAGCAATAGTATTGCAGTCGGGAAACGAGCGGAAGCGAATTAGAGAAGCGAGGTACCGGGGGATCCGGCGGCGGCCGTGGGGGAAGTTCGCGGCGGAGATTCGCGACCCCGCGAGGAACGGAGCGCGGGTGTGGCTCGGGACATTCGAGACGGCGGAGGAGGCGGCTAGGGCTTATGACCGAGCGGCTTTTGCTTTCAGGGGTCATTTGGCCATCCTCAATTTCCCCAACGAAAACCATTATAACACAATTAGTCCAAGATTAATCTCTGATTCCAAGTACTACACGTCTTCGGCTGCTGCTTATTATTCTTCGTCTTCTAGTTCCTCGTGCGCTGCTGCTGCTGTGGCTGCTGGGCGTCCGAGTGACGTCATAGAGTTTGAGTATTTAGACGACAAGTTGTTGGAGGATCTCCTTGACACGCAAGATGATCAGGATGGGCACTTGAAGAAACTTAGAATTGGATGATGATGATGATGATCACTAATTTGTTCTCTTTGGTTGATGTTTCGGGATTAATTTTAATTCTTTTATTGGATATGTTTTATCGATCGATTTCATTCGTACATGGAAGAAATTATTAATATGCGAATCTTTGTTGTATGTATTTCTTAACTCTAAGGATTGAACTAATATTCTTTCAATTTTCAGATACATGAGCGTTTAGTTCATGAATTTAAACTATGTGTTTAAAATTATTTTCGATTTACGTATATTTTTTTTTATGAAAAGACCAATAAACGAACAAGAAAAACAAAGAACACAAGGCGATTTATACTTAGTTCGGATTAATCAATCCTACATCCAAGTCAGGGTATAACAGTTGATCCACTAATCAGATGTTGTAATTACACCCTCAGTGCTCACCAAAGATTAGCACTTACTTTCCTCTCAATACAAGAAATTTTCTCGAGAAACAAACACAGCCTGACACTCAGAAGGAAAACCTAAAAAACTTGATTCTGTTTTCTTTACAATCTCTCAACCCAGAGCACTCTCTAAACAAATGCAACGGAAAAATTAGGTAGCTAGCAATTTAAATTAGGTTGTCATCAGATCCAAGTATCCAATCACTTCGTCTTTAAAATCAATTAATACCTGCGAGCATATATAGATTACTTATCGCTTGCATAACAATTATTATAAGTATCATTTGTTTTATCCCTGCAAAACTCATTGCTTTTTTTTTATTTTCAAATGCAGCTATATGAAAGGGGCTTATACTGTTATACATCCTTTTTTCCAAGTGCCCAAAGATTCAGATGACAGTCGTGCCATATGTGTGTGTGTGTGTGTTTATATTTCAAGATCAATATATAGTTAATGCATAGTTCACCGGCCTGTGATTAATGGTAAGACGCATTCCTATTTGTAGGTAACAAAAACAAGTCAAACATAGACACTAAAATGTCGTTCTACTAGATATGTCTGGGACATGAATTTAGCAAAAAAGTTCGGATGTTGAACTAAGCCAATTGATATCTTGTCGACGAGCACTACCCCTAGACACTTAGTAGCTGTAAGATTTAACTTGTTCGTTGGTTAATTTCTGTAAGGTCTGATTTTCACCTAGATGTTACGAAGAGTGTTACAACACTTTTAGTAACATTTGCAATTAATGGTCAAGTTCTGTGGTGATCAAATGACAGTAAATAGAAACGTCCAGGAATCAAAAATAATGCAGGAAAAAATTAAAGAACACCAAAAAATGATATCGCAGTTCGGTGTGCACACCTACATCTGCGGGGCCACGCCCAGACAGTGAACAATCCACTACGATCAAAGGATTACAAACACCAATCGGACTTATACACCCAAAGACTCCCTCCTTGACGTTGTCCCTGCCGTGTCAAATCTTCTTAATGGCCTTGTCCAGCGAGCACCACTCGTCTTCAAAATTGCACAGTGAAATTCCTTCGGCTGGCGGTGCGCTTTCTCCCGAAAACTTCTAATCCTTCTCTCGAAGGACGATCTTCAATCACACTCAAAACTTCTAATCCTTCTCCCGAAGGACGATCTTCAATCACACTCAAAGGCTCACTAATTAAAGACTTTCTCTTTTGTAAATATTCTCTGTAAGAACACCCCTCATATAGGCAGCCTTGAATTGCTTTTAAAACCTCAAAAACATAAAAGCGCAATATTCTCACTTTCAAGGCTACAAAACTCACGTACACCCATATGCTATATATATATAACAATAATTCACGTGTAATCCACGTCAAGCGCCAATTCAATGATTTTTCAAATCAATGTGATAGCCAATTTCAAATCCTTCTTAATGGGCTAGATTTAATTTGCACACACACATATTACCTTACAAAGCACATACCCTCACATAAAAGCATAAGCCACTCTCACTCTTATTCTCCACGTTAATGCACCCACATATATATCACCAATATATATATATATATATATATATATATCCTTTATACATTTTTCTCCTTTTTCAATAATAGAAGCACTCACCAAGCAATTAATCTATTTTTATTTCCTTAAATAGATCTTATCCCGAATCTGTTGAAATTTCTATGATTGCATTAAATCTCTCAAATCTTTCATTGACCAAGTATGCTTTTCTTCTTCAAAACATTCCATATGCGGAGCAATTAGCATATCAAAATCGTCACAAAATCTAGTTCTACATCAATCATTAACTTGGCCCTATTTTTGAATTTTGTACAACTCATCTCTAAAAAATTGCTTTCCTAACAATTTCCTTGTTACTTATATATATATATATATATATATATATATGAATTGATGGATTTTGAACCAATTTCAAGAAGCAGGTAATCCATGTATATAATATTAAGTTCGTCGTACTTTTTCAAAACGAAAACATAACCAACTTAAGAAGTATTTCAACTTAATTCCATAACGGGGGTTTTTTTTTTTTTTTTTATATATATTTTTGCTCTGAAGTTTAAAAATAATCATAAACCATGTATTAATAAGTCAACTTAATATTATCCGAAGTGTTGACATTGGCGTTCTATAGATGGGTCATAGCAGTTTTTACCTTTCGGTCGGGACAAGAAAACCTCAGCGTCTAATTATAATTGGCATAAAGCTGGCCATGAGAAAAAAAAAAAAATGTCATAATTAAAGCTGGCAACCAATATTAGCCGCTTTTCTCTCTTCTTTTATGTATCGTTATGATCAGAAACACGGAAACGACCAAGCACATGCTGGTTTGCCAAATAGAAACGACCAAGCACAGTCCTATAATATATATAAATCAGAAGTTAACGTTTTGTTGTCTTGGTACTCCTCATACATTAACCACGAGATCTGCAGTCACAACTTGCGTATTCAACGACCCGCTTGTACGCCTTCCTTTCTGGTCACCACCTACCCATCAATAATTGCATGTGTCAAAATTGCTCAATGGTCAATACATGCTGATATAGTGAATAGTGGAAATTAAATGCCTGCGCAGGGAATGATTTTCATCCCCGTACCTTCCGCATAAACCCATCTTCATTCCTGCTTAAGGAGAGGCGGGTTCAGAGTCGAGGATTCTTTCATCAGAAGGCTTTGCTTTTTTATTTTTTATTTATTCTCATAATCCATTTCAATACCATAGAAACTTAAAATAAAGAAAAATTACTAAAAAATTCAATATAAATTTAAACAAAATAAAATACGGTAACCGACATCAAATCTTAATAATAAAGTCATAAAAGAACTAATTAAGTTTAAAAAAATTCATATCTTTATATAAAAAAATATTTGAATATTTAATATCGCAATAGAGACGGACGGAGATATTTCAACTGCCCCCGCTCTCTTATGACTTCAGAATAAGATTTTGTCCTTATCCCTATCTTATCTCAAATATAATCCTCAATTTTCATCCTTTTCAGAACGGGTGCCAATGGTAGTACCCATCCCATAAAAAATATTGTCATCTCCATACTATTACATACAGCTTAGAACTATCCGAAGCCCACCTATTATTAGCGTGACGTGACCTAATAAAAGATATTTTGCCAGTATATCAATTGGGATGTTTGTTTCAATGGTTCGTTTCTGGTTCTGAATTATGGTTCTTGATTCTTTACAGTATTTTTTTCTTATAAAAAATTTAAATTTTAAAAATCAAAATCATAAATTATGGTTTTAAATCTATGAACCAAACATCTCATTAATGATTGAGCTAGCTAGATATATATCCTTCAAATTCTTCAATTTTCCATAAGGGAAAAGAAAAGGCCGAGTAGCACCAAGATCTTAGCCGATACAACTATAAGCATAATGTCACCACCGCTCGTCTGCTCAGAAAGAGAACTTAGGTTATGTATGACACACAAGCCCATTGAATGTCCTGAAATTCAATGGAATATCCCTCTCTTCTCCCCAATCCTTTTTTTTTTTTTTTTTTTTGTAGAAAAGAAAGACAAGCTTTCAATTTTTTGAGAATATAAACTGTTATTATTAATGAAAATAAATATCAGTTACAATAACAGATTCTATAAATGCTGAAATTTCCTCTAACTAAAATAATTTATCATCAATATTAAGAGTATAATTAGCAGCCAAATACGAACAGCCCTATTAACTTTTTTATACACATGACATAACTTATTTCTTTAAAAATAATAATAATAAATTAGACACATCTGACAATAATAATCTCATATCATTCCAAAACAACAAGATTGTTTTATAACAAGCTTTCAATTTTAAGATACTTTTAAGTGGAGCTTTCAATTAAGGGCCTTAGACAAACTACTGCCAGATGCTAAACTGGGCTTCGGCCTTCTTATACGCACTGGTTTAGACTTCATAGGCTTTACCATCCCCAAGTGTCATGCTCACGAAACAAACGCGTCGGACACCTGATGTGTGGCTACGAATTGGATGACCAAGACATGTCGTTTTCTGGAACAATCGATTAGCTGTCTTTCAAATTTCATTGGTTAATGATAATATTCTAGTTCAGGCTTTAAATATATGTGCTTGATTAACAAAAGGAAACCTCTCCCCAACATACTAAACACGCAATAAATAAATAAGAATCATTATGTTTTCAAGTCAAAACATCATTAGAGATATTTATAGTGCTTTAAGAAATTGAAAAGGAGAATTTACCTAATATAAAATTTTAGATGACTATTTAATTATAACCAACCCCAATCTCATTTTAAGAGTAGATGTATGCTTTATTGCATGTACATATAGGGTGATAATCTAACATTATATATATATATATATATATTTAAGGGAATATATATATATTTTGAGATTACCTGCCTGACATTATAATCAAGAAATTACAAATTGTCAAACGAAAAAATTTGCGGACCTGAATCTGATAAAGTATATTTCTTTTTTATATTTCATATGCAATTTTAAGATATAGTATATATATAGTTTAATTGCGGTTTCGTATAATAATATCTTTTTCGTATTGGTGATCTTCAGTTAAAAAATGGACGAATCTGATCTTAAACAAGCATGTATGCATATATATACACACACACACACACACACACAAAACTTCGTTCACATATATAAACAACCCAAGCGTACGGCCCTCTTCCAACGACACCACCAAAAAAGGCAATTTTATGCCAGGAATTAGGAATACAATGGCGGCTACATAATACAAAATAAACAAATGGAGAGCAACAGTAGAAATGTCGCCAACCACAGAAAATAAAAAAATAAAAAAAAAATGAAAAGGCATTTTATAGTTTCTTTAATAGGATAATCTGACTATTAGTGTCAATTCATGGTTGTTAAATTTAGTTAAAATTACATTATATTAAAAAAAATATATAAAATAAAAAGTGTTTTTATACAAATTTAATAGCTGAAAATAAAAAATTAATGGTTGTTAATTTTTTCAGACCCCTTCAAAAAAGCTCCTCAACGTTATTATTATTCCGTCATCGCATGCATCCTATTATTCCACATTGCCTCCACAATTTCGCTTTTGCTTTACTAAAATGGTCAATCCATAAGACCACTAGATCTTCTCAGCCACCCGTGCACGCCACAGGGAATAATATTAATTATTATAGTAGGCATTATTAATCACAAAATTATTAACCAAAGATTTCCATGCAGCACTATGATTGTACCAAAGTATGTAGACACATATGCGGAACTTTCCTAGGAAAGACGCTATCCCACCATTAATAACCATCAGCCATGACTATATCAACAAATCAAAAATTAAAAACGTTGAAAAAAAAAACCATTGGATATGACCACTCAAACATTGTATATAGCACACCACAAGCCATACACACACACACACACACACACATATATATATATATATACACACACACACACACACACACATACCCGAGGAATGTAAAAGTGCTTTGCCACCAAATTTGAAATCAAAATATAGCTAGGACCACCAATATATAAAGGAATATTTACCTTGCTTTTGCAATTTCCACCACTCCCAAACTACACGAGACGCAAATGGAGGGAGATAAGAAGCCGGAGAGCAATCAGCAAAACAAGGGGAGGGAAATCCGGTACAGGGGAATTAGGCGGCGGCCGTGGGGGAAGTTTGCGGCGGAGATTCGAGACCCATCGAGGAACGGGGCGCGCCTGTGGCTCGGGACGTTCGAGACAGCGGAGGAGGCGGCTAGGGCTTACGACCGAGCAGCTTTTGCTTTCAGGGGTCACTTGGCCATCCTCAACTTCCCCAATGAGTTTCAGCACCATGACCAAAGCCCTAATTTCGCTTCTTCTTCGGTTTCTAATGCTCATGGACAGACCAGCTTTCGTGGAGATGATCAATTAGGGTCCAGAGGGAGAGAAAGTGGGGTTATAGAGTTTGAGTATTTGGATGACAAATTGTTGGAGGATCTTCTGGATTGCGAGAGTATGCAGAGGAAACAATAGTGAATTATAGCATATATATGACTGATCATTTTTATTGAATTAATTTATGGATTCTTTTCGTTTGTTTTGGTTTTATTTGTAAAATCAAGCTTCTAATCTGTATTGATCAGTGTGATAATGGAACAATAGTGTGTTTTCTTTAACTAATTCTTCATCGACTCTTCTACAAATTACCCACGTAAATATTGTGACAACATTCCACTTCTACATCACTGCATATTTAATGATGCAGATTGGGCTGGAAGTGCTGATGACAGGAAGAGTACTATTGGAGGATGTTTTTATCTTGGAAACAACCTGGTCTCTTGGCACAGTAAGAAGCAGAATTCCATTTCACTATCTACTGTCAAGGCTGAATACATTGCTGCAGGAAGCTGTTGTACACAACTGGTGTGGATGAAACAAATGTTGAATGATTATGGAATCCCACAAGAATTTTTGACTATATACTGTGATAACTTGAGTGCTATCAATATATCAAAAAACCCAGTTCAACATTCCAGAACAAAGCACATTGATATTCGGCATCACTTCATTCGGGACTTAGTGGAACGCAAAGTCATTCATTTGGAGTACGTTGCAACAGAAAAATAATTGGCAGACATTTTTACAAAGACATTAGATTCAGTAAGGTATGAGTCATTACGGTCTGCTCTGGGGATATGTGTTATATAATTAATATAAAAAAAAGGGGCCGAGAAGTTAAATTAAAAAAAATAAAAAAACTATTCTTCTTCTTCTTCTTCTTCACCACAAATCTCGACCATTCAGACCGAACCCTAGCCCAAAGTTTTTTTTCCCCAAATTTTTTTTTTCTGCAACAATGGTGTCTACTAGAAGCAGCTCCAGCGCCAAAATTGATGCAAATGTTGAACGCTTACGGAAAGAAATTCAAGCTCGTGTTCTCGCGGCTATGCAAAAACCCCCGTCATCGACCTCAACACCTCTGAAGATGAAAAAGAAACCACCTCCGCCTAAGTCCGCCTCTACGCACCGTTGCAACACTCCGCCCAACAATCCAGAGTCGACGCCTCTCTCCGTGATTCGGCCGTGGGAGATGGTTCATTACCATTTGCAATATTGGAAGAATCTTGAGGAAGAAGCACAGCCGCCGCTAGGTACTTCTCGGGGATCCTAGCACCGACTGATTTCTCAGCTTCCTTGTCGCAATCACCACCGACATCTCCCACATCTCCGAAAAGAGCAAATCAAGATAAGCCGCATGTTTCTCCACCAGATCTTCGAGACGACAGAATGGGTTCGATTGATCTAATGTCCACTCATATGATTCACTATGGAATGTAATGTCAAAAAGAAAAATTCACTCTGAGCAACTAATAAATCTGATTGAATATGAAGAATTGGGACTAGTCCAGCTTTTAAAAGCACAGAATCTATATGGTACTGTTTCGCGAGTTTAGCCTTATGTCAAGAATATTGTGATAGAATTTTATGCCAATCTGCTCAAAGCTATTCGAGAGCCAAATTCTGATATGTTTCACACCGTATATGTTAGAGGAGTAAAGTTTGAATTCTCACCAAAGGTGATTAATGATTTTTATAAAAGTCATGTGGAGACTGTGAATCTAGAAGTTGATTATGATAAGGTTGTTACTGAACTAACTGCTGGTGTTCGCTGTCAATGACCTCTAGTTAAAAGTACAAATTTTCTTGCTGCGAATCTAAGCTTGAAGTATTCAGCTCTACACAAAATTACAGTGGAAAATTGGCTCCCAAGTTTTCATACTACTGGTGTGCACAAATAACTGGCCGAGGTCCTGTATTTTATTGGCACAGGAGTCCCCATTGATATTGGAGAACTAGTCTTTAACGAGATCGTTGGTCATGCAGATGTGATAGCGTAAAAAGCAGCACTTTCTTTTCCATCCGTAATATATGGAGTCTTAATGTCACAAAAGGACATCAAGACAACAGATGATGTGTTGGAACCGTTGAATTGACCACTTAGAGTGTCTCAGAAACTCCGTGAAGGCAATCATGTGAATGAAGTGCAGGGGGAGTATGATAATCATGAAATAGAGATTGAGGGGGAGAGTGTTTTAGAAGACTTTGCCGGTCATGTGGCCTCTGGATCGTGTCTAAAAATGGCTACTGCTCAGAGACATCGCACCATTCAGTATCTGCAAAGGGAGTTGGCCAGGCTCACGAAGAAAGAAAAACTCCTAGCTCAGGAACAGAAAGAAGTTATTCAGCGAAAGAAAGAAGCTGCTGCGTTCCTTGCTGATTTGCTTGCTACTTCATCCGTCCCCGAGCCAACCTCTGTGTCTGCTCCAGAATGAAGGTCGGTTTGGTGTGTTAGTCCTTTGGCTTCGTTTTGTCAAAAAAAGGGAGATGTATGTAGGGTATTTTCTATATATTCTTTTCTGTTATGTGGTTTTATTTTTCTTGACCTTTTTGTTCTTTTTTTAGTTTTGCCAAAAACAGCTAAAGGAGGGGTTTGTTAGGATATTTTGTTAGTTGGTTGTTTGGCAAACCAAGTTCTTTTTTTATGCAAAGGTCCAGAAAATAGCAACTAGAGATCAAACATGGTATTTCGGATTGCCACAGTGGAATTGGTGGATTATGCAGATTAGTTGTTGCCAATAGATAAGGAGAAGATAAAGCAAAGCAAGTGAGGAAGTGAGGATCTCGATCTTTTGTTTGAATTTAAACTTGATCTGATTTTCTAAGAAGGTTCAGATTTAGAAATCAGGTAGGATAATCCGGAAGATTTGGAATTCAAATTTAAAAGAAGATTATGCAGAACACATCGGAGAGAATCGTGGAGAATAAGATAAGAGATTTGTATTTGAACAAGATTCTGTGAGCAATTTGAAAGTTGAGATAAAAGGCTTCGGTTTAGAAATAGTGAAGGACTTTTGAACGTACAGAATTTTCCAGAGGGTGTGCTGTTGAGAGAAGATAGAACTTGTTGAAAAGTTCTGCGCCCTGTTCCGTGATGAAAGTATGAACGACTGAAGGGAGCTCAGGAGTTGAATGTGAAGACACGTGGTACACGCTAAACAGAGTCATTGTGCGATTTCATCACAACGGCGTCATAGTCTAGGAGGGAGTACTTGAGTGAATAAGTCCGTCAGTGTTGTAATTCTTAAAGTATAGTGAAACTGTTTACTGTCTGGTCGTGGCCCCGCAGAGTAGGTGTACTCACCGAACTGCGATACCATATTGCGTGTCTATTTATTTTCTGCACCATTGTTCTTCGTTGGTTAAGTTGATAAGTATAGTAGTGTTTCAGATAGTGTTTCGACATCATCTGAAACATCAGACGTAACATCAAATTTAACAATAATAATAATAATAATAGTAAAAAAAGATGTCTAGAGCTATAGAGGATGGTGTCACGGCGATGAACAAATAATCTATAGTATTTCAACCAAACAAATGGGTCGCATGTTTTATCATAAAATATTGCCTTGATATTCCAAATCATATCGAAAATTCAAAGAAAACATTAAAAAAAAAAACAATAATTATAAGAGAAATTCGTTTGTACATTGGATATTCCAAATTCGCAAAAGAGAAGGAGGTCAATTCAACATAACATGGTCGTCAGAGCATGCATGCAGTTTTCTTTGACAGTTGAATTGTAATTATTAGTAAATCAAGTTTTTGGTGAATGGGTAATTAGTAAATCAAGTTGTTAGTAATAACTATTATACATGCTATCGCACTTGTACATCAATTATACACATTTTCCTAAGCGCTCGGAAAACGACGTTTTAATTTAGTCCTAACGAAAGTCCGCGAATGAAAAACGTAAGACAAACGAAAAAGTGAAAAATAACAAGAACGTCAAAACCACGTCCGAGAGTTCACAGCTCACTCTGTTTCTGAAGGCTGCGTTTAGAATTATGAGACACCAACTGTGATTTAATCACAACATTTTATACATCGAACCCAAAACAAATAATCCGATTTCTCATGTTGTTTTATTCTATTCATGATGAGACTTCACAAAACACCAGAAAGGCAGAAAGTTTCTCCTCTTCAATACTCTGTTTCGTGTTAAAAAAAAAAAAAAAAAAAAAACACACACACACACACACAAATAATAATAATAATAATAATAATGCCCTTCAATCTTTTTTCCCTTTGTTGTCGAAATCAAGAAGATCTTCCAACAACTTGTCATCAAAATATTCAAACTCAAAAACTTCCCTTCCCTGCTGCGCAGAAGACGACGACGAAACAGAAGCAGAAGCAGAAGCAGAAGCAGAAGAACCTTCCTGTGTCGGATACTCATCCGGGAAATTAAGAATCGCAAATGGGCCTCTCATTGAGAAAGCGGCTCTGTCGTAAGCCCTGGCAGCTTCTTCCGCAGTATTAAACGTCCCCAGCCAAACCCGAGCCCCGTTTCGATTACAGTCGCGAATCTCCGCCGCGAATTTCCCCCAAGGCCGTCTTCTGACGCCTCTGTAACTAACATCCTTTTGTCCTTCTCCTTCTTTAACGTTGTGCTCTTTTCCTCTCTGCTCTTTGTCCATGGCTGAGTATAATGAAAGAAATGGCGTTCTTTTCATTTATAACGAGTGGGAAAGGGACGTTATAGGGTAGAAAGAGATTCCGAGGTTGGCAATGGACAACACTTTTGATTATTTTGGTGAGGTGAGAGGGAATTCTTCAACGTGTCAAAAAACCAAATGCAACGAATATGGGAGAAGAAAGGTTGTGAAAAGATGAATTGGTGATGGCTTTTAAGCGGATTATGTTTGAGATTAGGGACTAATTATTTGATTAACATGCCTATTAGCTTTAGCACAAATATATATTGTACAATTTTATTTCAAATCAGGATGTGCTGACGCTTTTATGTGTGACGTGTGTATTGACGTCTCCTCGTCGCTAGTTTTTGTTTCTGTGTCAAGATTTGTGGTTGTTTTTTTGTCTAAAAAATTCAAAAAAATATAACTCGAGTTCTAACTTTATTTAAGGGCCCGTTCGCTTCGCTAATTCGAGTTTGTAATTCGAGTTGAGATGTGATTTTGTGTGAGAGCTTTTTACTGTAGCAAAAAAGTTAGATGTGACTGTTTCTGAGAGCTTTTTACTGTAGCAAAACTCGAATTTTAAACTCAAATCGGCGAAATGAACGGGGCCTAAGTTCATGTTCTTTTAAGTTTTAACTTTATTCAACTTTATTTAAGTTACAACTTTAACTCAAATTATAACTCAAATTCAACTTAAAAACTACACTCAAATTACACTCTAAAAGAACGAACCGTAATCTCAAAAGCCAAAGGAAAAGGAAAGAAAGAAAACCATGTTGGTAATGAACGGGGCCTAAGTTCATGTTCTTTTAAGTTTTAACTTTATTCAACTTTATTTAAGTTACAACTTTAACTCAAATTATAACTCAAATTCAACTTAAAAACTACACTCAAATTACACTCTAAAAGAACGAACCGTAATCTCAAAAGTCAAAGGAAAAGGAAAGAAAGAAAACCAGGTTGGTAATAAATTAACCTTTTTTTTTTTTTGGGTAGTACAAATTTTTTAATGTTTGTGTTACTTTCTTCTTTCGGAACATTCAGAAAGTCAGAAAGGAGGAGGTTCGTAATGACGTCATCGGATTAACATCATCGGATTACGTATCCCTAATTCATCATCATTCTTACATAATTAGCGTAGCTAGTTGGTGGGGATTAGTTTAAGTAGATTATAATTAACATTAATATAGGAAAGCATGAAAATATTCTGCGAGGACTAGAGCCCTGATTTGGTTATCAAGGCTCAGTCAAGACTGATTCTCCGTTAAATATGTTTTTGAGATTAATTAATGGGTGAAATCAGCAAAGCTTACGTTGCTTTGACAAACTATTTTGAGATGTCATGTGTTTTTGTCCTTTAGTTGACAGTGAAGTTCCTCTGGCTTTTTGGATTATGTGCTTTTGATTGAAAATGAAGGAGATTCTTCTGGTATTGCCCAGTGTCAGTCAAAAAATGGATGAAATTATGTGATCTCATATGCCTTACGTTATGTGATTGATCAGCAAGATGATGCTCAAATGCTAATGTTTACTATAAGAATAGATTAATTGTTAGTCGTTAATGGGCCCGTTCAGTTCGCTAATTTAAATTTTTAATTCGAGTTGAGATGTGATGTTGTGTGAGAATTTTTTACTGTAGTAAAAAGTTAGATGTGACTATTTTTAAGAACTTTTTACTGTAGCAAAACTCGAATCAGCGGGACCTGTCATGGGTTTTTGCCTTTTTCTCAGTTTGTTGTGACTTCAAAGGTTCTTGTTTATTATATGGGCAATTGATGTCTCTCTTTTTGGTTGGGTGAACGAATTGTGTTTGGGGTGATTTAGAACTTAGACCAAAGTACACTACACAGCGATTAGACATGATGTCGTTTTAGTCTGAAAAATAAAATAAAAAATAATAAAAAGAAGGTATTTTGAAATACCTTATGATATCTTCTTCTTCTCCCTCTACAACCCTTGAACCTCTAACCTGGTGGAAGGATGAAAGCACACCAACCGCCTAGAGAGGGCTGTACTAAATCTAATATTATAAAGTAATTTTGCAAACGAAAGAAGAAAAAAGTGACAGAGATATTTTAACATACCTTATTGTTTTCGTTTGTTGTTGATGACACACTCAACCACCATGGCACAAAGAGGGTTGTGATCGAATTTGTTTCACGTTTTATTAAGTATAGTATAATTGCAGTGGAATCGTCTTCCATTTCTGAACCTGGATAATTTTAAATTTTTGTCATTAAAAAGGAGCAATTTTTGTTTGGAAGAAAAAAAAAAGAGTTTATACTTTGTATTTAATAGTGTACTAAAAACCCGTCAAATCTTTCCACTCACCCTCACCACACCATCATTTTATGTGTCACATCATTAAATCATCATATCACAATTGTAAACTGTTCGTCCCGTCATATATAACGGGCTGTCTAGCTTAGGTTGGTTTTTTTTTTTCAAATAGTGGTTTATCAAAATCACATCGTCTCGTTAAAACTGCGATTTGTGTTATTTATTGTTAAGCATAAATTATGAAAGATAGATTATGATGATGATTGTTTTGATGTTGATGATCTTTTTTAGCTTAAAAATATATAATAAATTGATCATAATGAACATTAATATAGGAAAATATTGTTAAAAATTAATCATCTCTACTCAGTGTCTAAGACATACCAGATACAATAGGTTCGTGTGTTAATTGTCAGAATCGTTAGCGTCACCGTTAAGCTGTCAAAAGTTGTTAGTAAAACGGGTTTGAGAGTAATGAAACTCTCTTATTTTTTAGCCTCTCCGCACACAAATAATGCCTCACACAAAATAACCACACACCTCACACAAATACAAAGCCCCTAACACTTATATATAAAGTGTTTAACTTAACAACATAACGGACCTAATTGGTTTTTGGCCTATTGAGTTTATATTAATATACTATAGAGGTTTTTTGGCCCAATAGACTAACCAAAATACTTATAAGAGTGAAAGTCTATACACCTCAAATTAATTAATAAATAAAGTGTCCATCTCATTATGTTATTAAGGGGCTTTTATTCTATTTGAAAAAGAAGGTATTTTGAAATACCTCATACATGTCGTTAAGCTGTCGAAAGTACTTTATACGTAACTTAACAACAGAAGGGGCTTTTACTCTATTTGACATACATGTCGTTTTTTTGTTATGGAAAAAATTAATAAAAAGAAGGTATTTTGAAATACCTCATATTGAAATACCTCATATTTAAGTAGATTATAATTAACATTAATATAGGAAAGCACGAAAATATTCTGCGAGGACTAGAGCCCTGATTTGGTTATCAAGGCTCAGTAAAGACTGATTCTCCGTTAAATATGTTTTTGATATTAATTAGTGGGTGAAATCAGCAAAGCTTACGTTGCTTTTGACAAACTATTTTGAGATGTCATGTGTTTTTGTCCTTTAGTTGACAGTGAAGTTCCTCTGGCTTTTTAGATTATGTGCTTTTGATTGAAAGTGAAGGAGATTCTTCTGGTGATGCCCAGTGTCAGTTAAAAAATGGATGAAATTATGTGATCTCATATGCCTTACGTTATGTGATAGATCAGCAAGATGATGCTCAAATGCTAATGTCACTTTAGTGATTTTTAAGAATCTAATAAATTGTCAAAGAAAGAGGCAAATGGAAATAAGGTTGGAAACTTGGAATATATGTTTAAACTTGATTTACTATAAGAATAGATTAATTGTTAGTCGTTAATTTAGGGGGCGTTTGGTAGAGGGATTTGTTTCCTAATTCGAATCATGATTCGTAATTCGTTACAATATTTTCTCTCATAAAAAATACACGTAAATAAAAAATGATTCGAATCACATAGGTTTTTGCCTTTTTCTGAGTTTGTCGTGACTTCAACGGTTCTTGTTTATTATATGGGCAATTGATGTCTCTCTTTTTGGTTGGGTAAACGAATTGTGTTTAGGGTGATTTAGAGATGATGTCGTTTTAGTCTGAGAAATAAAAAAATAATAAAAAGAAGGTATTTTGAAATACCTTATTAGTCATCTTCTTCTTCTTCTTCTTCTCCCTCTACAACCCCTGAACCTCTAACCTGGTGGAAGGATGTAAGCACACCAACCGCCTAGGCCATAGAGAGGGCTGTACTAAATCTAATATTATAAAGTAATTGTGCAAATGAAAGAAGAAAAAAGTTGCAAAGATATTTTAAAATACCTTATTGTTTTCGTTTGTTGTTGATGACACACTCAACCACCATGGCACAAAGAGGGTTGTGATCGAATTTGTTTTACGTTTTATTAAGTATAGTATAATTGCAGTGGAATCATCTTCCATTTCTGGACTTGGATAATTTTAAATTTTTGTCGTTAAAAAGGAGCAATTTTTGTTTGGAAGAAAAAAAAAGAGTTTATACTTTGTATTTAATAGTGTACAAAAAACCAGTCAAATCTTTCCACTCACCCTCACCGCACCATCATTTATGTGTCACATTATTAAATCGCCATATCACAATTGTAAACTATTCATCCCGCCATGTATAACGGGCTGTCCAGCTTAGGTTTTTTTTTTTTTTTCAAATAGTGGTTTATCAAAATCACATCGTCTCGTTACTACTGCGATTTGTGTTATTTATTGTTAAGCATAAATTATGAAAGATAGATTATGATTATGATTGTTTTGATGTTGATGATCTTTTTTAGCTTAAAAATATATAATAAATTGATCATAATGAACATTAATATAGGAAAATATTGTTAAAAATTAATCATCTCTACTTAGTGTCTAAGACATACCAGATACAATAGGTTCGTGTGTTAATTGTCAGAATCGTTAGCGTCGCCGTTAAGCTGTCGAAAGTTGCCGATAGAACATGCTTGAGAGTCATGAAACTCTCTTTTAGCCTCTCCACACACACATAATGCCCCACACAAAATGACCATGCACCTCACACAAATACAAAGCCCCTAACACTTATATATAAAGTGTTTAACTTAACAACATAACGGGCTTAATTAGTTT